TATATATATATATATATATATTATTTTATTTTATTATTTATTTATTTATTTATTTATTTTAAAAGGTTATTTCGTGTTGTTTGGTATAATATTATTATATCTTTTATTTTATTACTTTTTTATTGACATTTTTATGAGGAAAAATAAGAGACCAAATTATATAAATAGAAATTATACAACAAATAGTTCTCATACTTTTAAAATTCAATTACTCGTCCTTCAAATTAAATTTTAAGTTCGTATACAAATATACTTGAGAGGCATCATAAAATACACAATAAAGAAAGAATGAAAGAAGGAAAAAAAATAATACAATACACATATCATTGCGCCTTTAGTCATTAAAATTAAAAGTAGAAGGAAAAACAAATTCAGAGCATAATTGTCTAAGATATTGTCATATCCACTTCACAAGCCTATCAATATTCAAAGCTTTCTTCTTCTTTTTCAAGTCAAACAAAGGTAGAGGGCATCACTCTTGTTGATATTCAGTACTTTAAAAATCTATATGTTTTACTCGAAAATATAAATAAAAGAAAAATGACTGAGTTTTCGAAAAATCGATTACACTTTATGGTTTAAGAGAAATCGAATTTCCAAAAGAACAGAGTCGCCACTTAATTTTTTAGTAAAAATCAAGAAAAAAAATATAAGGTTTTCAAAAGACTTAAACAGATAAAATCAGTTGAAAATAAAGGGGTTCGAGTTCAAATGTACATTCCGAGAAGGTGTTAGGCCATCGGAATGTCCGCTAACCTGCGGTTGACCAGCGATTTGACTAAAATGACTTTGACTAATTTTTTAGAAAATATCAACTAAGAAAACTCATTTTTTTAATTATTGTTTTTTTAATTATTATCGTTATTATTATTATTATTATTATTATTATTATTTTATTATTGTCATTTTTATTATCTTAAAGGGAAATGAACTAAAGGGGGAGATTTTTCCAAAGGAGAATAATTTAAGTGACAAGACTAAATAAAAATAGAGCTAAAAATATAAATATTTTAATTCAAATATGATAAAAAGTTGAAATGACTATCTATGAGGATTTAACTAAATTAAACCATAACCAAATAAATGGTTAGTCAACATAATAAACAAATAAAAAGCAAAGGAGAAAGATATCAAATTTGGACTTTTGGCCCAACTTTAGGAACCTGTCTTAATACTAAAAATTCCCAACATGATCTTGGGCCCATTCAATCCGAATTCTGCAATTAGCCATTCTCTTGGACCTTTTGGGGCCTATTTTCGCTTGAATTTGCTGTAACAAAAAGAAATTGGGCCTTGTTTCTGCATTTTGCTATTTTTGACTTGTATCTCAATTTTTAGCATGTGTTTCATCTTCGATTTTGACATGTTCATCGGTTTCCTGCTGGTTGACTCAAGGATAAAGGAATTTGGGCCTTCATGGCCCAAATGACATGCAAAGGGAGGAGGAGGGAGTTCATGGTAAACTCGGGCGGATTTCACAACAAAAGAACACATAAATAAGAGTTAGCATCTATTCATAATGACAAAACAAACAAAATAATCACACGAAATTTGATCGATCTAAACTTGACCTTAAACGAAGTTCAATCAACAATAACTAATAAGAACTGTAATATAACACTCGAAGGCAATGGAAATTATGTAAACTTAGATTTAACAAGGTCCAATTTCAAAGATAAGAGGAGGCACAAGGCAGTAAGAACATTTGATGAGACATTAGTCATTAAATTAGGAAATAATTGGTGATAAGATGACTCAAAATATTATTCATCACCATAGACCTGTATCCAAACATCACCGCTATATGAAGCACATTTACTATCTCATTATTAAGATACCAAGCATATAACGAAATCAGGAAATAAGCAACTTTGAGCACCGAAACGCTATTCGTTCGAATTAAAGCACCCATAATGAGGCCCAACAATAATCCAACCGAAATGAAAATAAGCAAAGTTGCACTCTATTGTTAAAAGACCCACAGATCGATTTAAGGGAGCAAGCATCACAAATTTTCAGATTTAACAAACTTGCAAAAAATCGGAAGGACTGACCATAAATGACCACACATGCATTTCAAATAAAGGGCAAAATGGCTTTAGAAATCTGAAAGTTCACATTGACTCTAGCTACTATAGTTGAACACAAAAATTAAATTTGGAGTCAAAACTGTAAATCACGATCTCTTTTTTTAAAAATAAAACTCTATTGGCAGAAACTACTAGAAAGGAAGAAAAGAACACTCATGCTCAACAAACAACTATAGTAATGGGGCGATAATGTATCATGGAGGGACATCTATTTAGACAAAACAAGAAATTCGATCAATTTATTACATACAAGATATAAATATGTCCAACTTTCACATAGATAGAGAGCAAAATTTCAGATAAAAAATGTTAAAACAGTCAACTAAAACATCCAAAAACAGCAAGCCTAAAGACACCGAACGAACTCGAAATATCGATGTCTTGATTCATTCATCCAAACTTGAGGTGAAAGAACAACAATTGTCTGAAACCGATCCCCAAACATTCAAACAAGTACCTCCGAATCATGCTAACATGTGAAAGACTCAACCTCGAGACAAGTAACACGACCACAACTTCGAGAGAGGGAAAAAAAATACAAACGGAGAGACAAACTTAGAAATGCATTAAGCTTTCTTGGAAATAGAATATACTGCCTAACTTAGAAAATATGACGAAGAGAGTAACATCAGACCAAACACATCATATAAGATCATTTTAGAATCCACAAAGAGCTATATATCAAACCAACCCAATGCACTCGAAATAAAAAAAAAAAAGAATCATGAGTTGTTTACCTTGTTCGAGGCAGCGAACCGAAGACGAAAACGAACTTGGAGTGACTTTGATACCAACTTCGAACTTCAGAAATTCGGCAGGTTCCCAATAACCCACAACTGAGGAAAGAAAAGGTATATATTTAGAATGTGCTTCTTATATGAGTACTGTAGCTCAGCGACTCTTTTTTTCCTGTAAATTCTTGCCAAAATCCCAACTAAAATAATCTCCCCTATCTTCTCCAACCTTCAACAGTGAGTAAGAGGGATGTATTTATAGAATGAGATTAGGACAGAAATTTGGAAACAGGCGGGAGTTTTTTCGGATAAAAACAAGGCCCTCCAAATCAAATTTCAAAAACTTTTCACCATTACAGGAAGACACTTTTTTCTGAAATTTTCTCCCCATTTCGAAAGAGGAAAGGAAAAAATGCGTGCTTTCTGTTTGCTACGATTGTACCAATCGAAAGGGACGTTGGAGTTGGATGTTAACGTTGGAGGACTTTCTGGGTTTCTTCGTGAACATTGAAGGAAACATTGGGGCAGACTGTTGTTGTTAACATGGGGTTGGGCCGGGTTAAAAGGGGAACTGGGCTGGGATGGGTTATTTGGCACTGTATGTCGTCGGTTGTATTGGAAAACAAAAGGGGGAAATGGGCTTTTGGTATTGCTGATGTAGTGTGTTGCTGAAAATTAGTTAATGGCCCAACTTCGGTCTTTTAAAAAAAAATGTGTTGAAATGAATTGGAGATTTGGCTAAGGAAAATATAATCGAACAAATCCCCAAATGAATTTTCAAATGTAACCAAATTGAAATTAATTGGTGGATTTGGTCAACATTTAATCAAGATGAACTAACGTGAACTAATTAATGAGTTTCTCAAACTTAACGAAATAAAATAATTAATTCAAATATAAACTAACCGATTTCAATAACCCAAAATTATAACTATAAATTATACTAGACTAAATTATTCAAATATAAACTAACCGATTTCAATAACCCAAAATTATAACTATAAATTATACTAGACTAAATTAATAAAATATTTACTAAAACAATGTAGAAATCTTGTGAGATGGTTTTCAAATATTCATAGAATATATTAATTGTATATAATTATATGAAATACATTTATTATTCAAAATACCATAAAAAGCCGACTGAAATTATTTAAACTAACCTTGAAACTATTTGAATTTTACAAAGCTAATTATTCTAAAACGTTTAGAAATTAAGAAGCTCGAAAATTAACTATTATCCGGGAAGATCAAAATTAGGTGTCAACACTATCACTATTCAAAAGCTTTCTTCATGTAAAAATTAAATTCAAAAGGCATCATAGAGATATATAAGAACAAAAAGAAAGAAAAAATAAAGGAAGAAAAAAAGAAATAGTAATAGACATGTTCTTATAAGGGCTTCCCGGATGGAAGATTATGTGAATTTATTATCAAAACCTAGTTTTTACATTGCTCATAAGAATTGGTACTGCGTTATGCGGACTTTTAAATGGGATCCCTTATTTTATCCAACGGAAGAAACATCGATTGTGATTGCATGGATATCACTACCAGCGTTACCTCCTAATTTCTTTGGAAAAGAAATGATATTTTTTTTGGCGGCAACTGTTGGTAAATCATTGCAAGTTGATATGGCGACAAGTAATAAAACGAGACCAAGTTGCTCTAGAGTCAAGGTGGAAGTGGACTTATTGGGAGATTTTCCAAAAAGAGTCAATGTTGGAATTAAGAAGAAGACAGGAGAAATAATGGCCAAATGGGTTACCATCAAGTATGATTACATACCAAAGTATTGCAAAAATTATAAGTTGCAAGGGCATAATGAGAAATAATGCTTTGTACTACATCTGGAGCTATATCCTAGGGAGGAAATGATTGGCGAGACAGATGATGAGGTTGCAAATAGCAAAGGGGAAACAACGACAATAGAAAGGAAAGAGGTAATTAACAAAGAGAAGGTGACAGAGAACAATTTTCAGGAATCAAAGATAAAAACTGGGATGAGAAGAGGAGGAGAACAATTAGGGGGAGACGCAATCAGAGATCGGATCCAAAGGTAAAGACAGGGGGAGATGATAATATTATGACGGGGAACAAATTTGAGGTGCTGAATCAAGAAGAAGGGACAGAAGTTCCAAACCAATAATAGGAAAATAATGAGACAACAATAATGCCAATGACAGGGACGACAAAGGTTAAGGACAAAGAAAAAACACCAACGAGGAGGTGGGTAGACGAGATTTTTGGAGAACAAAGTGAGGAGAGCAACAAGCCAATGAAAGATAAGGAGACTGGAGAAAGCACCAACAGAAAAAGACAATGGGAAAGGGAATCTGCGCAAAAGGAAAAGAGCCATGAAGGGGTAGGAGAAAAGATATGGAATAGAGAAGATCAACTACAAGACGTACATAATGAAGAAGATAGTCAGAATGACAAGGAAGTGGATAGTAAGAGAGAGAACAAGTGTGATGGGGATGATGAGGATAAACCACCAGACCCATCTTATACAATAGATGAGGAGGGGAAGGTTCATCAAATAATAAACAAGGGGCGACAAATAAATGAAAAGAAGAACAATAATTTGATGTACAGGAACAAGTGCAAAATATGAACTAATGAAGGGTAGGAGGGAGGAAGATGATGAAGAGGATATCCAGGAAAATATCAATGCAGTAAGCAAAGATGGAGACCTCTCACCAAGACATACCAAAGAATTACGAACGAGTAGAAAGATCTATAAAGTTATTGGCAGGGGCAGGAGCACAATGAGTAGTTCAGCAAAACCACCTCTGTCGAAATAATGATGGACAAACTTCTTTTTTTGGAATATTAGATCAGTAGGCACTCAAAATTCATTTGAGAGGTTGATTGATCTAAAAAAAGAAATAAGTTGGCATATATCGCCCCTTTGGAACTGTTTAATGGGCCTCATGAATTAGAGTGATGCTAAAGTAAATTAGGGATGAAAAATGCAGTGGCAAATATTTTGTCCAAGATTTGGGTGTTTTGGAATGAGGAATAGGCTGGAACTGTTATCAAGGACACGTACCAACAAATTTCGATCCAATTTAAGCATCAATTAATCTAGAAGGAGATGTTCATTACGACAGTCTATGCAAGGTGTAATGCCTTAGATAGATTGGAACTTTGGGAGGATTTAGAGGAGGAAAGTTGCAATATTGATGTACCATGGGTGGTGGGAGGGGATTTCAATGTAATCATGGATGCATCGAGGAAGATGGGTGGGCTACTAGTAACGCAACATGAAACAATGGACTTTGTTCAGTGTATAAATACATGTGTGTTGACAGAACTGAAGTTCACATGGAGTAAATATACATGGTGGAATGGCAGAATAGAGGAGGATTGTTTATTTAAAAGGTTGGATATAGTGTTTGGTAACCAATAATTCATGAATCAATTCCCAGTATTTGAAGTACAGCATCTCATAAGGGAAGGCTCAGATCATACGCCTGTGCAAGTAGCATGTAATGTTAACCAAGAAAAGGTCAATAAGCCTTTCAGATTCTTAAATTTCTGGACCAAAAACACCAATTTATGTGAAGTGGTGAAGAAGCATTGGGCGAGCGACATACAAGGAAGCCTTTTTCACGTTGTACAGGAAAAGATGAAAATAATGAAGAAGGTGTTAACTAAATGGAGTAAAGATATATATGGAGACATATTTCATAAGGTCGCAACCATGGAGGATGTTGTGAAGGTGAAAGAATTACAATTTGAGATAAATAATACAGAACAAAACAGGGAGGAATTAAAAAAAAGCAGAGGAAGAGCTTCAAAATTACTACCAGTCAGAGGAGGAGGATTTCTAGAGGCAGAAATCAGGGATGAAATGGTTCAATGATGGGGACAAAATCACGAAATTCTTTCACACTTACGTTATAGGTAGAAGAAGACGGCTTCAGATAAATGAAATTGAAGATGAACGGGGAGAAATGCTTAAGAATGTAAGAAGTATTGGGGGGGGGGGAAGCTGTAAAAGTATTTAAAAGCCAGTTCTTTGATAGCAATGTGAATGACGAAGAATTGATGCTAGAATGTATACCAAAGCTCATCATAGAGGAACAACAAGAGAGCATGGATAAAATGTCGACTGAGGATGAGATCATGGATGCTGTTTTCTCCCTAAACAGTGAAAGTGCATGTGGCCCTGATGGTTTTTCAGGGAAATTCTTCAAAAGTTGTTGGGAGATAATAAAAGAGGACATGGTCAAAATGGTAATTGCTTTTTTCTGTGGCTGGGAGTTGCCGAGATACGTGACTCACACGAATTTAGTTCTTATTCCAAAAAAAAGAAAAAGTAACTAGATTCACGAATTTGAGGCCGATAAGTTTAAGCACTTATATAAACAAGATGATATCAAAAGTTATCCATGGTAGAATAGTTGAGGTGCTTCCAGGAATTATATCGAAGAATCAAACAGGCTTTATGAAAGGGAGAAATATAGCGTAAAATGTTTTGTTGGCTCAGGAGATCATCATGGATATAAACAAAAGGAACATGTACCACAATGTTATGATAAAGCTGGACATGGCTAAGGCGTATGATAGGGTGTCGTGGTTATTTCTACTAAAAGTAATGAGAAGATTTGGTTTCACCGAGAGAGTTATTGATGTGGTGTGGAGGTTAATTTCCAACAATTGGTATACAGTGCCAGTAAATGGAAATGCATATGGATTTTTCCACTCGACAAGAGGGCAAAAATAAGGAGACTTGTTGTCCCCAACTTTGTTCATAATCACAACAGAGGTGTTGACCAAAAGCTTAAATAAATTAAACAGGGAAGCAAACTTCATAGGTTATGGAATGCCAAAGTGGAGTGAAAAAATAAATCATTTATCATATGCGGATGATACAATATTATTTTGTTCTGGGCACAAAGGTTCAATGAAGAAGATTATGAGGGTGTTGAACAATTATGAACATATATCAGGCCATTTGCATGATAAGGTGCCTATTGTGGTGTAAAATTGAATCAAAAAGGTCATTGGGATCACTATTGGAATTTTTCCTTTCACATACTTGGGGTGTCCGATGTTCTATAGGAGGAAAAAGATTAGTTACTTTGAGGATCTGATAAAACAAATGAATAAAAGTGTTATGATGTGGCATAGCGAATTGTTAATGTATGGGGGAAGGTTTGTGCTAGTAAATAATATTCTACAATCGTTACCCATATATTTGATGTCTGCGATGAATCCGCCAAAAGGGGTGATAAATCAAATGCACAAAACCATGACAAAATTCTTTTGGAGTAAGGCATGTGGTATTAAAGAGAGACATTGGGTGGCATGGGAGGATTTATGTCTACCAAAGGAGGAAGGTGGTGTAGGCTTTCGATCGTTACACGTTGTGGCTGATTCGTTATTTGCAAAATTGTGATGGAAATTTAGAACTTCCTCAGACTCGTTATAGGATCACTACATATGGAGTGTACTGTAAGAAGAAGCATCCGGTGGTGGCTCATGGCACAGGGACCTCACATATGTGGAGGAAAATGATCAGTATTAGAGAAAATGTCGAACATAATATTTGGTGGAAGCTTAAGACAGGTGAAGCAAGCTTCTGGTTTGACAATTGGACGAAACAAGGGGACCTATATTTTGTGGAGGAACAAAGTCGAGGGGAAGAGGAGATAGAAGTAAAAGAATTTATAACGGAAGAAAGGTGGAATAGTAATAAATTGAGACAATATTTATCGGATGAGATGGTGGATTACATAACTGGCAGCATTAGCCCAAAGTTAACGAGGGAGGGTATGGATAAGGCTTGGTGAATGGGAAATGCCAATGGTGTTTTCAGTGTGAAATCAGCTTGGGAGATACTGAGACAAAAAAAGAGAGGAACGCGAAGTTTATAAGCAAATATGGAATAAAGAGATTCCGTTCAAGATAAAAATAAATTCTACGGAGGACATGGAAGGGAAGAATACCAACGGAGGATAATATTCAGAGAATGAGGATTAATATCATATCGAGGTGTTGGTGTTGCGAACAATATCAACAAGAAACAATGGAACATCTATTTCTAACAACCCTCATAGTTGTAATACTATGGAGGCATTTTGCTAATTGTGCAGGTCTGAAACTGGATGGGATACTATTCCCAATTGTTCTGTTGCGATGCTGGTATACAAAGGGTCCAAACAAACTGAAATTCATACTCAGGACGTTACCAACTGCAATAACGTGGGTACTATGGAAAAGAAGGAATTGCAGGAAACATGGAGGGGATCTATCATTACAAGGAATGATATCTCAGGTGCTACAAATCGTTCAATATGTAGTTACGAAGAGATTTTATTCGATTAACATAAAAGGAAAGGATTGGAAGGAAATGGTCAAAGTTTTGAGTGCATATAAGCCAAGGATATATCACTATGCAGTGAAGTGGGAGATGCCACAAGAAGGTACTCTGAAGTGTAATACGGATGGAGCATGTAAGAGGAAATCCAGGGATAGGGGCATATGGATTCTGTTTGAGGGACAATAAGGGGGACTTAATTTATGCAGAAGCAGAGAAAAATGGACAAACAACCACTGTGGAGGCAAAAATGAAGGCTATAGCAGAGACGTTAAAATATTGTGTAAGTAAGGAGGTAAGGAGGCTAGTGATTGAATCAAACTCATTGTTAATGGTTAATATCACTAATAAAACCTGGAGGGTGCAATGGGAGCTGGCAGAACAGTATGATGAGTTACAACAAGCGCTGATGAAAATTGAGGCAATAATTCAGCATACATTCAGGGAAGGTAATAAAATGGCTGACTACATGGCAAATCTTGCTATTGACAATGATGAAAAGCAGATTTTCAGATCTTTCCAACAAATTCCGCCATTTGAAAAAAAGATAATAAACATAGAAAAAGCTCAAATTCCTTCGTTACGAATCCGTACCAAAAGGATACAAAATAGAGGTATCAACAGAGGTGTATCGCTACACATTGGAGATCAACTACAAGCTTGAATGGGAAGAGAGGAAACTGAGCTGAAGAATATGCATAAGTATGAGTATTACGAAAATGGGCTATGTCCGTTCAAAATAGAAATAGGTGCCTTACTTGTCTATTTAGGGCTTAGGCCTGTATGTCTGTTATTGCTTTTATTATTCCATAAATAAAAGGCCTAACCGGCCAAAAAGGTTATCCAAAAAACAAGACTTTATGAGATATTAAAAATAAAATAAATAATTAAATGAAGAAAAATGGTCAAAAGAAAGGAGAAAAAAGATAAATATGAATGGAGGCCATAGAGAGGTGCCACATCACCTTGTCTATGTTCTCCTTATTCTTCTTCTAATTTAATATGAATTCAATAAATAAATTGATTCTTTCTCAAAATAATTCTTCTTGTCTTGTGGACCCACTCATAATTTTTTATATAAGTTTTTCAATCAGAATGATTTTTTTCTCAATACAAATCTTCTTGTAGAAAAACTTATAGTGCAACAACCTTTTAAAAAAAATCTTTTTAAAGAGAAACATTTGTTACATGGCCTTTCTTCTTATATCAATATCTTAAAGAATCATGAGATACTATCTCGTTCTCTTTTCATAAAGAAATCATATTCTATCATCATAAGAAGAAGTGACAAAGTTAAGGTGTCCATTTTTGTTGATCTTAACTACTTATAATTTTTTATTTTAGGCTATATATAAATAATTTTGAGAATTTCTTTTTATATGTATATATATTTGTAATTGTAAAATAGTTTTGAAATATAAGATTCTTAACATATTTTAGATTCCTAATAATTTTATTTTTGCGTTTTTTAGTCTT